TTGAGATGGAGTTTCACTCTTGTTGCCCAGGCTGGAGTGCAGGTGATCTTGGCTCACGGCAACCTCCGCCTCCCGGGTTCAAATGATTCTCCCACCTCAGCCTCCTGAGTAGCTGGGATTACAGGTGCCCACCACCACGCCCAGCTAATTTTGTATTTTTAGTAGAGACAAGGTTTCACCATGTTGGCTAGGCTGGTCTAGAACTCCTGACCTCAGGTGATTCACCCATCTCAGCTGTCCAAAGTGCTGGGATTACAGGAGTTAGCCTGGCCAAAATTTTTTTTATATGTTGTGGGTATTAATCCTTTGCTTGTTATAAATATTGTAAATATTTCCATTTTTTTTTAAATGGGGAGTGGACGTGGGGGAGGGGCAGGGTCGGGGGTTGGGGGAGCAGGGTCTGGAGAGGGGAGGGGCGGGGAAGCGGGACCGGGAGCCGACCTGCGGTGGGGCAGGGGCTCCGGGGTGCGGAGCCAGGAAGGGGCCTATTGTAAATATTTCCTCTTCATCTGTTACTTGTCATTTGCTTTTGTTTACAGTGGTTTTTCATTTTTATTCAGTCATATCGTTAGATCTTTTCATTTGTGATTTGAGTTTTGTTTCTTGCTTAGGAAAGTCATTCATTCCTCCTCAAAGATCATAAAAATAATCTCCAATTTTTTTCTTCTAGCACTTTATAGCTTTGTGGGGTTTTTTTTTCTTACACTTAGCTCTTTATCCAGAATGTGTTTTTGTGGACAATGTGAAGAAATCTACCCAGGGAATTTTATGATTTTTTGATGCCACCATAAGTGAGGTATTTTTCCTGTCACATTTTCTGAGTGCTTATCGTCAGCATATAGGCTACACATTTACTTTGAAGGTACAATTTTATCATCTCCCACTGTCTCATCTCAGCAGGAACTCGATCTTTATGTTGAAGGAAGGCCCTCTCAGACTGGTCAGTATGCCTGCAATGTAGCCATTAAACAAATACAGCTTGAGTATCTCTTAATTGAAATGCTTGGGACCGGAAGTGTTTGGGATTTTTTTTTTTTTTTTTTTGAGTTGGAGTTTCACTCTTGTTGCCTAGGCTGGAGTGCAATGGCACAATCTCTGCTCACTGCAACCTCTGCCTTCAGGGTTCAAGCGATTCTCCTGCCTCGGCCTCCAGAGTAGTTGGGATTACAGGTGCCTGTCACCATGCCCAGGCAATTTTTTGTATTTTTAATAGAGACGGGGTTTCACCATGTTGGCCAGGCTGGTCTCGAATTCCTGCCCTCAGGTTATCCACCCGCCTCAGCCTCCCAAAGTGCTGGGATTACAGGTGTGAGCCACCGCACCTGGCCTTGGATTTTTTTTTTTCATATTTTGCAGTATTTACCTATATCCACCCAAGTTTAAACATGAAATTTATTGATGTTTTATCTACACCTTATATACATAGCCTGAAGGTAATTTTATATAATATTTTTATTAATTTTGTGCTTGGGCCAGGCACAGTGGCACACACCAGTAATCCCAGTGCTTTGGGAAGCCTACATAAGAAGACTGCTTGAGGCCAGGAATTCAGGACTGGCCTGGGCAACACAGTGAGACCACGTGGCTATAAAAAATTTAAAATAGCCAGCATGTTGTTCCAACTACTTGGGAGGCTGAGGTGGGACGATCCCTTGAGTGTAGGAGTTTAAGGTTATAGTAAGCTATGATTTTGTCACTGTGCTCCAGCCTGGGTAACAGAACAGGACCCTGTCTCTAAAAAATAATGGTAATAATAACTTTGTGTTTGAAAAAGCTTTGCATACACTGAACCATCAGAAAGCAAAGGTGTCATTATTACAGCCACCTATGTGGACAACTGTAGTTATTTAGCATCACCATAATTCCTGACTGAATTTGTGTGCTACCAATAAACAATCATTTCCTTTGTTTGGTTTTTGTTTTTGAGACAGGGTCTCACTCTCTTCCCCAGGCTGGAGTGCAGTGTTGCCATCATAGCTCACTGCAACCTTGACCTCCTGGGCTCAAATGATTCTCCCACCTTAGCCTCCCAGGTAGCTAGGACTACAAGTGCACACCACCATACCCAGCTCACTTTTAAATTTTTTTTAGAGGTGGAGTGATCCTCAAGTGATCCTCCTACCTCAGCCTCCCAAAGTGCCAGGATTACAGGTGTGAGCTGCCATGCATGGCCAGCAATCATTTCCTAACATTCACTTGCCCGGAAGTACTTAAAAGTAAAAAATAATGTAGCATTAATTTAAAAACAACACCACAAGCCAGGTATGGTGGCATGCACCTGTAGTCCTAGCTATGTGGGAGGTTGAGGCAGAAGGATCAGTGGGGCCCAGGAGTTCAAGGCTGCAGTGAGCTATGATTGAGCCACTGCAATCTAACCTGTGTGGCCCTGTTTCTAAACAAACTACAAATAAAAACAAACATCAAGAACCCCAGAAATACAAACTGCATGTTGCATGGCTGTGTTTGGACTGCAGCCCATCACATGGGGTTAGGTGTGGAATTTTCCACTTATGGCATTATGGGAGCACTCAAATAGTTTCGGATTTTGGAGTGATTTGGATTTCAGATTTTCAGATTAGGGATGATCACCCTGTTTCTCTCCTGGCCTTTGCTTCCTCATCTGTTAAATGGAGAAGGTAGACCAAATACACTTTGTGGTCCCTTCTTGCATTAATAATGCTGAGGTTTTAAATAACTTCATTCTTTCTGGCCAAAAGGTAGTTCAATTTCAAAAGGGAGAAAACTGAATCCTGGTCTCTAGTTGCTAAAGAGCACTGAGCCTCTTTACATTTGAAAGTGATACCAAGAGTGGTAAAGATTGGCATCCCCTGCTCTTGGACTCAATACCTTGGCTATAGTTAGCTGGAGCGAGCATCTTTGATAATAGACATTTGCGATATATAGCTAAGAGCAGGGGAAGCAAGCATCCAGCATGTGTCTGTTGTCTTCCTGTGAAATAATGTTTCTCTACAAGGAAAGAATAAAGAGATGCAACAGTGGTTTCCTACTCCAGGAAATTATTTTTCTAATGACCCAGCATTAGAAAGTTTGTCAGACTTGCTCTGACAGTCCACTCTTGACCAAGGGGTATAGCAGTATGTGAGGTGATATGGTTTGGCTGTGTCCCCACCCAAATCTCATCTTGAATTGTAGTTCCCATAATCCCCACAAGTAATGGGAGAGACCCAGTGGGAAGTAATTGAATCACGGGGGCAGCTTCCCACATGCTATTCTTGTGATAGTGAGTTCTCATGAGACCTGATGGTTTTATAAGAAGCTTTCCCCTTCACTCAGCTCTCATTCTTCTTCTCCCTGCCGCCATGTGTAGAAGGATGCGTTTGCTTTCCCTTCTGCCATGATTTTAAGTGTTCTGAAGTCTCCCTAGCCATACTGAACTGTGAGTCAGTTAAACCACTTCCCTTTATAAATTACGCAGTCTCAGGCAGTTCTTTATAGCAGCATGAGAACCGACTAATACATGAGGCCATGTATTATTAGTCCATGAGTCCATGCTGTTTCCCAGGTGGTTTCAACTGTAAATTCAAGAAGACATTCGATGTTTAGCCCCCAAAAGAAGCACAAGGATTCACTGGGTGTATCAGATGACCTACAATTTCTGTCAAACTTCTGGATCAGCTCTGATTTGCATTATATTGCTATCATTTGCTTTTAAATATTTCAGCATAGTTAATATGATATATATGTCATCTACACACTGGGAGCAGTTAATTAACATTTGGAGTCTTCTAAAAGAAATGTACTCTTCAGAAATGAATAACATCTGAAAGATTTTAAGAAAAACTCTAAGCAAAAAAGATCTAACCAGAGGGTGATATCATTACAACTTCAACCATCTTTATTTCCTTTTAACACCAGAGGGCTTGTTAGCTAGCATAATACATGTTAGATATTAGTTTTCAATGGTAACATGAGTTGTGTTCAAGATAGTTGGCTGGAAATATCATGTAGGTAAACTCACCTTTGCCCAAACTCATCAGTAGCTTACAGGCTTTCAGGATGACCTAACAACTGGAAGTTGGGTTTAACCTTGCCAGTTTCTGGGGACAGGTCTAATAACTACTGTAAATTTGAAGCAGCAATGAATGTACACAATATTTCAAGATAACACCAACAACAGTAAAGTGACGCCGGGGGCGCAGTGGCCCTTGCCTGTAGTCCCAGCTACTCGGGAGGCTGAGGCTGGAGGATCGCTTGAGCCCAGGAGTTCTAGGCTGCAGTGCGCTATGCCGATCAGGTGTCCGCACTGAGTTCGGCATCAATATGGTGACCTATTGGGAGCGGGGGACCACCAGGTTGCATAAGGAGGGGTAAACCAGCCCAGGTAGGAAACGGAGCAGGTCGATACTCCCAAGCTGATCAGTAGTGGGATCGCACCTGTGAATAGCCACTGCACTCCAGCCTGGGCAACATCACGAGACCCTGTCTCTTAAAAAAACAAAAAACAAAAAAACAGTAAAGTGACATGAAAATATCTATAGTTTCTAGTGGTGACTGTCTTAGTCTGTTTTTTGTTGCTATAAAGAAATGCCTGAGGCTGGGTAATTTATAAAGAAATGAGGTTGATTTGGTTCACGATTCTGCAGGCTGTACAAGAAGCATGGCACTAGAATCTGCTTCTGGTGAGGGCTTCAGGCTGGTTCCACTCACAGTGTGAGGCAAAGGGGAGCTGGTGTGTAAAAATCACGTGAGAGAGGAAGCAAGAGAGAGGGGGAAGGTGCAGGCTCTTTCTAACCAGCAGCTCTCATGGGAACTAGTGGAGTAAAAACTCAATACCTTGAGGAGGCACCCAGCCAGTCATGAGGGATTCCGCTCCATGAACCAAAAGCTGATTAGGCCCCACCTCCAGCACTGGGGATCAAATTTCTTTGTGGTGGGGGTACCAAAAAAACGATATCTAAACCATAGCTAGGTCACCAGTTCTGCTAATACTACTGTAGTTTCTTACCTGTATTACTACTTATGGAAATGCTAAAATCATTTAGGAGTTAGTAAAAAAATGAAGATTTTTTTTTCATTCAAGTACATGGAGTCTCTGAATTTTATTTACTGACCTCATGGGGATCCATGGACTCAGGATAAGAACTCCTGAGCCTTACCTACTGAATGTTTGATACTAGAGAAGCCACTCAAAAGGGATTCATCATTAATAGTGCCGGTGATGGGGACACCAATGTCTTGGCCAACAGGGTCTCTCCTGGGAATCCCAAAACAGTCTGTAGGGCTGGGCTGCATATAGAATCTCTGCAACTGTATGCACCCAGGTCCCCACAAGGACTTCACAAATGCAGATTCTTCATCTATGATGAGTGGTACAAGAACATATGGCCGGGCATGATGGCTCATGCCTGTAATCCCAGCATTTTGGGAGGCCGAGGTAGGCGGATCACCTGAGGTCGGGAGTTTGAGACCAGCCTGGCCAACATGGAGAAACCCCATCTCTACTAAAAATACAAAATTATCCGGGCATGGAGGCATGTGCCTGTAATCCCAGTTGCTCGGGAAGCTGAGGCAGGAGAATCACTTGAACCCGGGAGACAGAGGTTGCAGTGAGCCGACATTGTGCCTCTGCACTCCAGCCTGGGCAACAAGAGGGAGACTCCGTCTCAAAATAAATAAATAAATAAAAAGAACATAGGCAGCTGCAATAGAGCATTGGTCTGGCACAGATCAAAGTCTTTCTCAGCAAATCTAGTTTTTTCTAAGGAAGAAGCAGAGATTTACAGCAGGACTTTCAAGCAGACACGCCCATTCATTCTACCACCAGAGCATTTTTCCCTTCCAGCTCCTGTAACCCAACATTTGCATAATTAAATGAGCCATTACATTGGTTTTTCCAGAACTAAGTAACCATCTGCCCTAAAGCTGTATCCAAGTCTTGCCTCTTACAAAACTCAGGACTCACTTCTGGGTTCTTTTAAAAGCCTGGGTTTATTGTTGAATTTCCATGTGTGTTTTCTCTTCTCTTCATAAACATTTCGAAGGTCTTCCCGTCAAAATGCAGTCCCAACTCAAGCATCCTGAGCTCCCTTCTCTCAGGCAGTCTCGATCACAAGCACGTGGCCCAGCCCTGGGATGGCAGACAGCGCAGAGAGATCGCCTTCCCATCAGAATCACTGGTAGCTGTCTCCCCGTCCCTACCACAGGGCCCTGACATGGCTTTCACAAGAGTCTCACAGCAGGAAGCTGCCACTCAGAGGGCACCACCTGGCTGGGGTGCTAGAAGGGGATAGGACCAGAGAGGAAGAAAAGCAGAATGGCTTTCTCCACTTCCAGCAATTTGTTCCCTTTTGTTCTCAGCCCAGGAGCGTGTTTAGCACCCCGAGGGGAGTACAGAATCAATCTAAGTGCATTCCCACTGGCACCTGCATGTGGGAGGCTGGCCAGGAGAAAGGAGCTGGGTGAGCGGAAGTGGTGTGAGGCGGTTGAGGAGGCTGGAGGACAGTGGAGGGGGCTGGGCAGGGTGTCTGCCTTCCGGGCCCCCTGGAGGCACTCACTTTATCACACTGGTGGCTGGGGCTGCTGGGGTCAGGAGGGCAGCGAAACAGGCTTGGGCCTCCGTGGGCGCCTCTGCCCTAATCCAGCCCCCTGTGCACAGGCCACCTGCCACTCTGGCCATTCCTACCGTGGCTGGCAGGTGCTATTTATCACTTGGTCTTTTTACCTAAATGTGACAGTGACAGAGGATAAGGAGGGGAACTCTGCAGAAAAATGTCCTTTCTCTTGAGATCCATGGGCTCCTTACTCTTCACACGTCTGACTTGATCCTTTGCTTCTTCCAGATTCAGACCTTTCTCTAAGTAAGTGGTCCCCTTCTGAGTCCCAGTGTGCTCATTCTTCCAGGGGCTCCTAGTTACAGCCTTGAGGGAAGCGTTTGGGTGTCAGCCACCTGACCCCAGGTTACGAGCAAAGAGGAGCCACAATTAGCCTCTATTCAAACAAAGGATTCCATCTATAGAAGCTCATTTGCTTTCCTCTCTGCAGCTGGCTGGGCTGGGTGGCTGGGAGGGGGTTCTTTCTCTGTCACTTTTTTCTTAAACTTTTCCTTTACATCCAGGAAATGACCAGCCCATTACAGTTAAAGATTATGTTAGGCGCCATCCCAGCAACCAGCCAACTCCCTGTATTTCCTGCTTTTTGTTTCATTAAAATACCAGAAGAGCTGTCGGTGTGCACTCCCTTTCCAGGGCTTGAAGAGTACCCAGAGGCGATTTCCAGCCATGGGCCTCCCTGTGAGCCTTGTAAACCCTCAAACTCAACACCCTCCTATTATATCAGGAAGCTTTGGGCAAACACCTCCAGCTCTAGTGAGAGCTGGATTTCCTACCCACCCCCGACCCATGACCCTCCAGCCCCATCCTCAAAGTACTACTGGATTCTGGAGTCAGATGAGTCCCAGCTGTGTCCCTTCCTAGCTTCGTGATCATGGGCAAGTCAGTTATCCCCTTCTCTGAGCCTCAGAAGGGGATAATGTTAATGATGATACCAACTTGGGAGATTTGCAGAGATTAAAACCTAATGGGATTTGTAAATGATGCTTAATAGACTTTAAAAGCCTATATATTGTTAGACAGCATCATTTATCAGAATGCGGGGCTAGAGAGGAGCTTTTCAGATTTTTTCTTGGGCGCCCAGAATGTAAGCATCTGCAATGGCACTGGTAACACACCTGGCAAGGGAACCCTAATCAAATAAAGGTGGGTCTCTTGTCATGTGTCCTTCAAGGAGCTAAATACTAAAAAGAAACGTGCAAAACTTAAGGGAATCTCAGGTCCAGGCATACAGTAGGAGAAAATCTCCCTCTGTTTCCTGATGGTTCTGGGTAACTGTGTGAACTCAAGAGGCTTAAGAAGACATGGGAAGATGACCTGAGTTGACAGTTACCCACAGCCCCCAAAGTTGTGGTGGCCCAGGAATGACAGCACAGAAAATCACCCCAGTTTCAGTCTGACTGAACCCCATGCCTGGTCCCTCCCACCCCATCCCCTTCCGCCCTCCCTGTATCCATGTCCCTCTGAATTGACAATGGGTCAGGTCTGTCCAGAAAGGGTTAATCTGCAGGCTGTCGGCCAGGTGATTGCTAAACTGGAGCCCTGACTTACATTTACTGGCACATAGTTCTTTGCTTTGACAATTGTGTCTGAGTGTTTTAACGCCTGGCTGACCCTGCTGGAGTTTGTTTGACCATGTTTTGAAAAGTGACTTCAGTGTTTGTGGTGGTAATAGGCCTGGCACCGCGCGCTGGTGACACGGCAGCATGATGGACTGGGGCAATTCGAACTCGGCAGCTGATTTATTTTCTGTGGCTTCCTGCTTCTGCTGCTTCTGCTACTGCACAGGCATCAAGCAGTCAAAGACGACATGGGACCCAGGGCCTTCTCTCTGGTAGGTATGCATGGTGTGTGGAGGTGGATTTTCGCTAAATGTCCTTCTAGAAATAGCCAGGAATTTTCTAATGGCTCATGGTAGAAAACGCTCCTATGCAGTGTTCGGCCTGTGATATTCCTTTGGGTTCAGTATCTACCAGGTTGACCTGAGCTAGGCTTTGCCAGGAGTGTAGATATAAACTGGAATGAGAACAAGCAGAGGAGATTTATGGAGAGCTTTCTATAGCGAGGGAGTCAGCCACTAGCACTTGGTTTTGGCAGACAGTCAAAGACAGGCGGGGGAGTTGGCAAGTGAGGAAAAAAGGGGAGGGCTTCAGGTGTGCTCTGATAGGAGCTCGTTAGCATGAAAGAGCAGGAGGCAGGCTAGTACGAAGCAGGGTGCCCTACAGGATTGGTGTGGAGAGCATACCTGGCTTTCTCTGGTTGGTCCTGAGTTAGAAGGAGGGCCAAAATTTAGGGAAGCTGGCAATGATTGCCCAAGCCCTGACCATCTGGGGGCTGATTGCTATAGAGGTTGTGGTTCGGCTTCCTGGCCTGGTCGCTACAGCGGTTGTGGATCAGAGTTCAGTTTTCATATATGGTCTGGCCATTGTCCATTTGCATATTCGGTCTCTCCACGGAGACTAAATTTCAGAGTCCTAGTCAGTCTGGATTATGTTGGCATGGTTAAGCTGCTGTAAAAATCTATCCCACAGATAGATTTTTTATCATAGCAGTAATTATAATTGCAAAAAACACAAAACATAAAACAAGCCTGGAAACAGCCAGAATACTATTTTATAGAATTAAATTTAAGATGTGCCCACCTTGCACAAAACTTTTAAAGTCAGGATATTCTAATGACTCTGTTATAAATGTGATGCAAAATGACAACTTGATTAAAACAATCATACATACCGTGTGATTTTAGGTATAAACAGAGCTCAGTTGGAGAGTCTTCCTGACCCTTAATTTTTAGGTAAAATGTTCTCAAATTCCCATCACAGGGTTATGGGCAGTCCAACATCCCCCTGGGATTTCTGAAAACTTCCTGAAGATGCATACAATCATCCTATGCATACAGTCACCCTGGCTGTGAGCTCCTGCTTCCCCAGAATTATTTAAATTCTGAAATATTGGTTCATCATCCCTCACGCTGCCTCTGGCCTATGCCATATCAATCCAGTTGTAAAGTTCAGTTCTTTCCTTAATTTCAACAAAAACTCAGTTACCTGAGGTTTTTGCATATAGCACAGGTGTCCAATCTTTTGGCTTCCCTGGGCCACATTGGAAGAAGAATTGTCTTGGGCCACACATAAAATACACTAACACTAGAGATAGCTGATGAGCTAAAAAACAAATAAATAAGCAAACAAACAAAAAAGTCTACGCATAAATCTCATAATGTTGTAAGAGAGTTCACAAATTTGTGTTGGGCCGCATTCAAAGCCGTCCTGGGCCGCATGCAGTCCACAGGCCGCGGGTTAGACAAGCTTGGCATGGAGGGATTTGTATCCTGCTAGGCATACTAAAAAATTAATCTTGTTGTGTGGGCGTGGTGGCTCAAGCCTGCCATCCCAGCACTTTAGTAGCTGAAGTGGGTGGACCACAAGAAGCATTTGGGACCAGCCTGGGCAACAAAGCGAGATCCTTTCTCTACAAGAAATTTTTATACACACACACACACACATATGTGGCCCTATATAGATGTAAGCTATATGTACATTATATATTCTCTCAGTCTGTCTGTTCCTTGGCATCTTTCCCTGTTCCAGCTCCGGTCTCCCGCTGTGCTCTCAAGCCACTTTGTCTTCCTTTTCTTTCCTTTCTCTTCCTACTCAGCCCTCACCTTCTAGAGGAAACACACATCCTTCCTATAGGATAATAACTGCATAACATAACTCAACCAATGCATCTCTCTCCGGTTCCTGCTGCAAACTCTGCTCTCCCTCAACATATCCAAGGACTCTACTAAAGCTTTAAAATTACCAGTTGTATTTTAAGGGCTGCCAGGTTACATTTGCTCTGAGAAACAGGCCTTCTTCCTCCCAGGCCCTGTTGGGTGTGTAGGGGAGGGAGTGGGTGTGGGCAGGTGTTTTTTCCAGTAACACAAAGTTGTTTGAAGATTAAAGACAGGGTACATACAATTCCTAGCACAGGCCCTGGCACTGTGATCACACTTGTTGGTTTATCAAACAGTATCAAAGGGGGCCTCCTCCAGGTCTTCTGAGTTTCTAAGCCTTATCAGCATTTTGCATATCAGACGCCAGCTCTGCAGATACCTCTTCCCTTGCTGGCTTCTGTGCAATCTTTCCTCTAATCTGTTATTAAGGGGTAGAACTTTCTACCTCTGCTTTTTACCAAATAATCTTAATTAGTTTTGTTTTTCTAATGTTTATCCAAGAAATCCTTAATTTTGTAAATCTCGGTATTAATTTTTTTTCTTTTTTTTTTTTTTTGAAACGGAGTTTCACTCTTGTTACCCAGGNCTTGTTACCCAGGCTGGAGTGCAATGGCGCGATCTCGGCTCACCGCAACCTCCGCCTCCTGGGTTCAGGCAATTCTCCTGCCTCAGCCTCCTGAGTAGCTGGGATTACAGGCACGCACCATCATGCCCAGCTAATGTTTTGTATTTTTAGTAGAGACGGGGTTTCACCATGTTGACCAGGATGGTCTCGATCTCTTGACCCCATGATCCACCTCCCTCAGCCTCCCAAAGTGCTGGGATTACAGGCTTGAGCCACCGCGCCCGGCGGTATTAATTTTTTGTTGATCAAATCTGAAAAGGCCTAAGAAAATTAATGCTTTTAGATTTTACTGTCTAATTTTTTTCCCTTTTAAAAGTAATGAGGCCCTAGGCTGGAAACAAGCTGTCTTTAGCTGGGGCTAAAACGTGTCTGGTCTTGGGTAGAGGGCCAGTGGAGAAGCCTGTCAGGAGCCTTTTTTGCATGAATGACCTGGAAGCCACCAGGAAAGAACTCTTTCTATGAGAGTGAGAGGCTAGGTTCGGTGGCTCAGATCTATAATCCCAGCACTTTAGGAGGCTGATGTGGGAGAATCACTGAGGCCAGGAGTTTGAGGTCAGCCTGGACAGCATAGTGAGACCCTGTCTATACAAAGTAATGATTTTTTTAAAAATTAGCTTGGCATGGTGGAGCATGCCTATAGTCCCAGCTGAGGAGGCTGAGGTGGGAGGTCTCCAGAGATTTTCCTTTTTTAAAATGTCTTTATTTCTTTATAGACAGGGTCTTGCTATATTGCCCAGGTGGCTATTGACAGGCATGGTGATAGTATACTACAGTCTCAAACTCCTGGGCTAAGAAGACTTACTGGTGAGCACACCTGAGACACCGCTGAAGACCTACAGCAATGTCTGAGGGGAACAGGAGGAACAAGATCTCCAGAGATTTATTCTTTTTTAAAAATGTATTTATTTATTTATTTAGAGACAGGGTCTTGCTATATTCCCCATGTCAATAGCCAGGCATGATGATAGCGTACCACAGCCTTAAACTCCTGTGCTCAAGCCATCCTTCTGCCTCAGCCTCCTGAGTAGCTGGGACAACCAGTGTGTGCAACCAGGCCGAGCTCCAGGGATTTTTCTGATATAGGGCAGAGCCATAGCGAGCTGCAATGTACTGAGCCAGGAGTTCAAGGCTGCAGTGAGCTATGCTTATACCATTGCACTCTGCTCTGGGCAACAGAGCAAGACCCTGTCTCTAAAAAATAAATAAGTAAGAGAAACTGAAAGACACTAGATGATAATAATGGCCTTGGTTTCTGGAGGGGAAGGAGTGGTTTC